AGATATAAGAAAGTAGTCACCGGAATGATGGCACGGTGCTACACAAATTAAATATGAAAAAGTAGTCACCGGAATGATGGCATAGTGCTACACAAATTAGATATAAGAAAGTAGTCATCGGAATGATGGCACGGTGCTACACAAATTAGATATAAGAAAGTAGTCATCGGAATGATGGCACGGTGCTACACAAATTAGATATAAGAAAGTAGTCATCGGATGAATGGCACGGTGCTACACAAATTAAATATGAAAAAGTAGTCACCGGAATGATGGCACGGTGCTACACAAATTAGATATAAGTAAGTAGTCACCAAAATGATGGCATGGTGCTACACAAATTAGATATGAGAAAATAGTCATCGGAAAGATACACAGTGACCCAAATTTTGCTAACATAATCGTTGGCCGGACGGGCGGCATATATGGATAATAGCCGCCCACCGGCAGCGGAAGCTCTTTGATTGTTTACCAAGATCGTAGAGGCTCTGATACCATGTGAGAAATATAGAAAAATAATATTATTGAATTGTTGTTGTATCTACATTATTACATTGAGACCCTATTTATAGACCCTAGAATACAATCATTTACCAAGTAGGATACTATTTAGTATTCCTATTTCTATTACTATTCCTACTCTAATAGAATTGTATAAACCTATTCCTATTCTAATAGGATTGTATAAACCTATTCATAGTCTAACAGTAATTATGCAACTTTGATTTGTTTCCTAGTTTAGGAGGTGTACGTACTATTTAAATACCCAATAACTTAAGGTAATGATCAATCAATACATTCTCTAGTCTTCCTCCTATGTATTTCTCATTTCTAACATGGTATCAAAGAAGACAAAGGTCCTAGGTTCGAGTTTCATCACCACCATTATAAAAAAAAAATCAATGTATTTGAGCCAAGAAAAAAGAATCAGGCTCATATGTGAGGGACCATGTTAAAGACAAAATTAAGTCTTTATGATCTCTCTAACAACTTAAATTTTTAGATGAGATGGTTACATATTTCAATACACAGTTTATGGTCTCCATCACAATATCATTTCCATCTGCAGTCTTCTAGGAAATCCATAGTTACACGTTGCCAAATCCCGTTAGAGACGCATAAAGTCTGGACAAAGTCAGAATATGGCACATTCTGTCTTGCATTGCTGACATGCCATACTATTCCCTCATTATGTTTTTCATCTATCTTGGTGATGCCACGAAAACTATCCTAAACCTCTGTTATATTTGCTTGGATGTGGAGTGACCCCCAAGAGATGAAGAATGGATCACATTAAGTCATTAACAAGTTGCCACATCCTTACTCCCTATCCATATCTCATCATGGTACTACGCAAGCATTTAAAAGTATTATTTCCCCTTCCTTATCTCTGTCATAATTGTCAATTACCTCATTCACCTAATCAGGTTGTAGAGCAGTGTTGGAAGTGCATTAACACTGTTATTCAAATTTATTTGACAAAGCATCAGCTGCCAGATCGTTGGTCCCTTTTCTATATTGAACTTTATAGCTCAAAACTAGCAAGTCAAACAATTGTACTGTAAAACATTTAATAATCCTCTGCTGCTTATGAAACTTGAATGCATCAAAATCTTCCACTCATTAAATTCGGTAAAAAATTGGAAGTGACAAAAGAAAGGGAATATATCTTACTACTATAGAGTTTGCAACTCGACAATATAAATTTAATATTTTACTTAGAGACACTTATTCGCCACGAGAACCAATCCAGTTTTCTCCTTTGATCTTAAAAGCAAATGGCTTCATAACTAGTGAAACATGGCAATGGAAATGATGCCAAAATACTAAGAAAGACAAGGTATGGCAAGTTTACAGTATCTTTCCAGGTCCATACCTAATAAGCAAGTTTACATTGTCTTTTGGCTCACAATTATCTAATAAACCTTTTTAAAACTTGCAAATATTCTCAGACGTAATATTAAAATAGAGAAACATGGTCGGTGAGTATTCATATAGATGTTGTGGATTCTCAAGCGTTTATATACTAGAGCTTTCCTGTGCATTTAATTAAATTTCTCTTCTTCAAGAGGAAAAGGAGGACACGGTAAGCACCATGGTACTATGCATCATAGTGACATAGTCCAATGAGAAACGTGCCACAGAGAGACATGGACCATGAAAAGCTTCCTATGATATCAGACTTAAGATGACATAACAAGTTGTTTAACATGTCTGAAATCATATTGACGAGTTCATTAAAAGGCTGGATATTGAACGGGTACCTACCGGCAGCTTCTGCTTGTCTCGATATAGTGTGAAATGATGTTGGATTTGTGCAGTTAGGGTTGGACATGGTTGCAGTAGTTGCAGATTTAAACAGAGTGACCATAGGGCTATCTCCCCCTTCCTGAGAGTGCAATATTTGCCCGTCAGCACCAGGAATCAAGCCCAACCAAGGAGCAGTTTGCATAAACTGGCGGGTATCGACTTCTCTCTGTTAAATACATAACACAATAGATATTAAAAATTCCTCTTTGTGGAATATTGTGTCACTATCACAACAATAAATACAATCAGTGTTCATGCAAAATAAGTTGATAACTGAAAAGAACCTTAAGATCATTGTAATTCAATGGTCCAAGAACAATTTACTTCAATACACAGAAGGACATAAATGGAGGACATGATGGCATCGCATACTGATCTACTTAGGCAGATATTCCTCAAAATGGAGGGACTCAAATGCATAATGCTAGAGGCACTGGTGACCTAACTAAGTGTGGGAATATTAGAGGGAGAGACAACAGGCAAAAGAAATGGTGGTACACCATTATAGCATGCATGCAGTGGATTGTTTGGAGGAAGGGAAATGATAGATGCTTTGAAGAAAGAGGCAACTACATTCAGAAGATCAAAATGAACTGTTTATGTTTGTTTTTATATTGGTATAAACAGTACTTTTTAAGTGATGCTGAAGCAGTGATTGAATTGAAAGACACGTTAAAATCACCAGGAATATACTTTTAGTTTATTATCTGTAAATACTTTTGGCAGCACTTTCTTGGTGCTATAATAACAAAACACTTGCCATTTCTTAAAAAAAATAAGTTTCCACATTTTTTGTAAAGATAAAGAACTTTTGTTCTGATATTTCATCAAAATTTTAATTTTTAATATAATTTTCATATATTTACAAATAAAGATTTAAGTTTCAAAGAAGAGAGATTCAGTTGTGTTACAAGTGCTTATGTGGGGATCAACCTGAGAGTGTGAATCGTCTTTTTTTGCATCATCCCCCTACTGATCAAATATGGAGCTATTCCTCAAACATGTTGGGACTCAAATTTGTTATGCAATGAGACACTAGTGATCTACTGAAATGCTGGAATATCAGAGGGAGAGACAATAGGAAAAAAACATAGTGGTATACCACTCCAGTGCATATGGTGGATTATTTGGAGAGATAAATCTTCGAATGAACTGTTTTATTTTTTGGGGAGTGGGGGGGATAAACAGACTTTTTAAGTGATACTGAAGCACTATAGAATTGAAAGACTCCCATATACTTTTGGTTTATGACCTGTAAATACCTTTGACAGCACTTTCTTGGTGTTGTATTGACAATACACTTACCATTTCTAATATAAAAAAGAAGTTTTCACATTTATTGTAAAGATAGAGAACTTTTGTCCTTATATTCATCAAAATTTTCATCTTTTAATACAATTTTTGTTTAGATTATTCCTTATCCATGTATATTACAAAAATGAAAGATTGAGGTTCAGATCAATGATAACATACAAATAGAAGGGAAGAAAAGAACTTTAGGAATTAGAAAATAATTTCACAAGGAAAAGAAAAGAAGTTGTTGAACCCTTGGGGATTATGATACTATAAGGGGAGGGGGAAAAGGGAATGACATTTTTGTACGAAAAGACATTGACAATTGGTTGGTGACGATGACAACATTGGGAAAAGGGGAGGAAGTCATAACGCGGGATCATTTGGGGACTAGGAGGACAAAGCTGGAGTAAGTGAGAGAGAAGAGCAACACATTTGTTGAGAGGCGAGAGCCACAATTTGGTCACGGAAGGTGGAGTTCAAAGTTTTGGAACCAGGGGAAGTCAAAAAGGTGAGAAATACCGTAAAATCCTGCAACACACCGTACTTTCTGGCTAGGATTGAGTTCACTTAATGCGGTAATTAGTCTCAAACCCCGGAGAATTTGGATGTGCCCAGGTATACAAGTCAAAATACTAGCATGAACTGGTTGTGATTAGACAGGACAGGACGTGGCTCACGTGCAGCTTACCGACCCTAGATAGGAGGATATAGAGGACAAGGATTAGGGAAGAATGTTAGTAGGTAGTCGAGCGCTGTCTAGTTTCCCTTTATAGTATTGTTTCTATCACTCTCCTAATGTGTTATTCATCGAATTTATTGTTATCTGTTGTTTCCTTTGCTTCGGTGACCGTAGTATTTTTTTGTTGCTACTGTTCTCTTCTTCATTATGTTTCAGCATGACTGGTTCACTACTGTGTTTCCTTTGTGTACTTGATTTTGTCTTCACCTGAGTCAAGGGTCTATCAAAAACAATCTCTCTATCTTCACCTGGGTTGTTGTTGTTGCATAGTAGTCTTCTAAAACCTAATCACATCTTCACATAATTTCCAGACGTCAATACCATGGCAGATCACTAATCCATCATTTATCCTGTCTCAAACATGTAAGCTTATGAATTAGCCCTTAACCTTATCCCTTATTTGGCTAACCAACTACCTATTACATTGTCTGAGAGGATATTTACTTATTGATCCTGCCATGTCTTCAATAGCAATAATAGAGTTGTCAAAGAGGGTACAAGGAAAAACAAAGGTAGCAAGGCTATATTAAATATATTTATTTGAAGAGAGTCAGATCAACATGTGTAGTCGGTACTTCCACCAATCAATACTGTAATCTGTCATTTCTCCATGTAATGTTTAGAGTGAGAAGCTCAGGAAGAGTACCAATACAATATCAAGAAGTCCCATCCAGTACAATACGCTACCAATCTCCTTGATTCCACAAAGGACTTCAGCTTTGAGTTCAGACTTTGAATGCCAGCAGCTAAGATGCTCCTTGGCAAGCCTCATGCAGCCTAAGCATCCGAAAAAACAATCACATTACATTTAGATCTCGAACAACAATAACCACTTAACGAGGGGGGAAAGCACAGATTATAAAATTATATTATTTTTTTGGGATAAATTTAACTATTTATTGATGTGATTGAAAATGTCTTGCATATTCATGCATACAAAAGTAGAAGAAAATTCCAGACAACATAATTCTCCAAAAGACAGCATTTCTATTAAGTTTTATTTATACTTTCCCCAATATTAGATTCATTCATCCGATAATCAAGTTCGAAGGACAGTGATTACAGGTTGACCCAAAACTCCGGGATAGTACACAAACAGTCTACTCAGAGAGATGGTACCTTGCCTAAAGAAATGCAAGGCGTGGGATGTTGCTCCCTAGCACTCGTGTGGACCATATGGAGAGAAAGAAATAGGAGAGTTTTGATGGAATACAGAAGGATTTTGTACACTTGAGGAATAGCCTCTTGTGCCTTATTTCCTTTTGGGGCACCCACGAAGTTCCATAGGTATAGAAGATCGGGTGTTGTTTGTAGAAAACTATATCACTTTATAAGTTTTTCTGCTCGTGCATACTTCTTGTATACGTGTACTTTGATCCTTTGTTAATAAAGCATATTACTTGATGTAAAAAAGATCCCTTTGGAGGTCACACTTTGCTACATAATGTAACAAACTAACCTGAGATACCACCATCAAATGGAAGTAACCCTATAGACTTCGGCAAAGCTTCTTGCAGTCCAGTAATCATTGGTTCAACGGTAGTGATCTGGACAAGAATTTGGAATGCATTAGAATTTGAAACAGAGGTTGTAATGATGATATGCCACAAATTGCAGACAGATGAATCTACAAATATTGTCGTTTATATGATCTCAAAGCCAGCAGGATGGTTATCAAATAAAGAAAAAATCATGATAAATCAATGGTTATGGTACAGTGACATGAATACTGAAATAATATTGCAGAACAGCATCGCAAGAGACTAGTAATTGTCAAAAATCTGTTTACCTTGTTCGATATATTATCCAAAAGGGCTCGGATAAGCCAAGGAAGTGACCTAGATCCCAAGAGCTTGACTAGAGAAAACATGTGAGGCACACCAAAAAACCCACAGTACAATCGAGCAAAGTTCTGGTAAGCAGAATTCAGATCCTACAGCAAGAACAACAAACAAGGGAAGGATTATTACACTATAAAATAATATAAATAACATGGGAAGTAATTGTATCCAGTCTATTCAAGAGACACTGAAAATATAATTATACAACAAGTCAACAACATACCCAGTGAAAATCCTACAAGTGGGGTCTGGAGAGGGTAGGATGTACACAAACCTCATTTCTACCTTGGCGGGGTAGAGAGGTTGTTTCCGATAAATCCTCAACTCAAAAGAAATGTAACTGACACAGGAAATTAAGAAAAAAAAGAGACCAAGGAAATATCAACGTACAAAACAAGTGTAGCGGCAAAACAGCAATGTACAAAACAAGCGTAGAAACCACGCGATACCTAAATCATACTACTAGAAATACGACAACACTTGACTACCTACTAACCTTCTACCCTAATCCTTGACCACCATACCTTCCTATCTAAGATTATGTCATCAGCCAGCTAAAGGTGTGTCATGTCCTGTCGAATCACCTCACCTCCCTTGGTTCTTCTTCAGCCTACTTCTACCTCTCCTAACTCGTGCTACAACTAACCTCTCACACCTCTTCACCGGCGCATATCCTTGCACCTATCTTGTCCGCCACGGAATCCACTCCCACCTAGTCATGTATAATTAATTCTTAATCATATCTCTCCTAGTATGTTCACACATCCATCTGAGCATCCTCATCTCCACTACCTTTATCTTCTGAACGTGGACATTCTTGAGTGGCCAACACTTTGTCCCACATAATAGTGTGGATCTAACCACCACTCTATAAAACTTACCTTTAAGCATTGGTGACAGATTCTTATCACATAGTACCCCATAACCGAGCCTCTATTTCACTCACCCAACTCCAATATAGTGTGCGACCTCATCGTCTATCACCCCGTCTCCTTAATTTGGACCTAAGATACTCCCTCTGTCCTTTTTTAATTGTCCAATTTTGACTTTTTACTTGTCATTTTTAACAAATCAAGAAAAGACAATATTTTTACCTATTATACCCTCAATTTATTTAGACAGATAATGTTTTTGAAAAAGGTAACCTCTTTAATGAGTAAATTAATTTTGGAATTCTATCAATTAATAGGGGTAAAATGGTAAACCCACTATAACAATTATTATTTTCTTAATAGGTGAGTCAAATCAAAAATGGATAAGTAAATAGGGATAGAGGGAGTACTTGAAGCTCTCTCTTGGGTTGGGTATGACAAATATAAATATGACCAAAAAGTTATTTGCATAGCCAATATGAGAATAAACTTAAAAGAGGAAAAAAATCAGGGGTAAGGTGATTGAATGAAGTAGACAGCACCACTAGATCTTTTCAAAGATTAATAGTCATAGAAGATATAATGTCATTGAAAAAAATTACATACGGATGGTCAGAAACATAAAGAAATAATAGATGGGGGAAGAGTTAATTTTTGGGGACAACACTTTGAAAGATGATTTCCCCAACATGTATTTAGTATCATACCAAAAGGAGTTGACAATTCAACAAATCCGGAGGACACATGGTGGTAAGGTGTTCTGGAACCTAAGGTTCGGGAGGAATTTCCATGATTGGGAGGTAATTGAGTTCCAAAGACTATTAGATTTACTTCACAAACAATGTAAGTCTTTTGATAGCAATGATATTCGGAGGCGGGGTTCGGGGAATGACAAAGCTTTTTTTTTTTTGAAATTGGTAACTTTGTCTATTCCTCAAAAATCAGTACTAAAACTGTACTGGTCAGTATTTACAACATGTACTTCAAATCCTACTATCTTTTACTAAATTGAGTCTAGTACATCAATTATGGAGATGGTATCATTTGACAAAGCTTCTTTTGTCAAGTCTTTCTATGAGAACCTTTTTGATCAAAGAGAAGGTTATCTTTTCCACTTAGCTCGATTTGGATTCCGGTTTGGGTTGCCGCTAGAGGGGAGATTTTGATGGCCGAAAATATAAGGAAGCGGAAGGCTAGTGTTAGTTGGTATTTTATGTGAAAGGAAGCCGGTGAAGATATCAATCATCTCCTTCTACATTGTCGTTTTGCCTAGATTTTATGGTTGAAAACACTTAATTTGTTTGGCATGTCATGGAAGATGTCAAGAATAGGAAAGTAGTTCATGTTCACCTGGAGTCGTGGTAGGAGGAAAAGGCGCAAGGCTTGGACAGTTCCGTCACTAGCACCTATGTGTGTATCTGGAGAGAGAAATAGGAGAGCTTTCGAAGGGGTAGAGATGAATTTTGTGAATTTGAGGAGTAGCCTCTTAGCACCCATGATATTCCTTGTTGTATAAAGGATTGGGTGTGAGTGTCTTTCATAGAAAAACATATGTTTTTGTAGGTTTTCTATCTTTGGTATGCTACTTGCATACAGGCGAGTTTGGGGCAAGAATTAATGAACTCATTTACCTTATCAAAGAAACAAAAATCAACCAGAGAGAGTGTAAGCAAATTACAGGCATTCGGAAACTTGAAGTACTTCAAATTTCACATTTATCGCTACACTGGCATACAACTCTCGAACTAGACTAAGATCCCTTACAAATACATAACTGAATGCAAGTGTAATTACAAAAGCTAAACCTTAGTACAACTAGTTGGTATCTTTTATAGAGATCATTTGCTGCTATTGTATTTTGTCTCTAGTTGGTGCCACTCATTCAGAGAGTTTATAGGTTTGTGAAACAACTTCTTACTACAAGAATTTAGATATAACTCATCTCCTTTTAGCACATTCAATTATCACAATGTCGCACCTACACCGAGGCATGTGGAGAGACACCTAGGATGTCACTAAAACTATCACGGTTGGCCTCTTCGTTTTCCTTTATGTGTTCTACTTGCACCGTCATTTGATCAGTTTTAAGCTCATTTTCTCAAATTGCATTAGTAAGATTCAGATATCATTTCTTCAGCTCAAAAGCAACATTCATAACATACAACTGAGAATACAATGAACAACTGCAGGAAAAAGAATAAGAGAATGGTTGCAACTGAAGAACTTAGTAGATTAAGTTCCATATAGTAGCCTGAATATGGTAACAGCAGAAAACACCATTTAAAGATTAATAATGTAATAGATAATTACATCAGGAAAGTGTCAAGGAAATAGTTTCTTACAGGAGTTCCACAGTAGAAATTTGGCTTTGCATAAGGAACCGAAGGCTTCTGGACAGGAACAGGGGGCACTCGTGCTGATCGGACAAAACGCTGAGTAGTATTGCAGAGGATGAAATTTGGCAAGAAGTCATTTTGCATTTCTGTCCAAATCTAGAGCACATCAAGAGCATAATAAGTATCTTGATTACATCAATGAGATGTTCCAGCATCGACAACTTTCTTATCAGGACTCTTAATTAAATTAGAAAGGTTAACAGGAAAACAATCAGTCCAGGGTGATTTATAAAATTTAGGAAGAAAAATTAACACACATCGAGGAATAAAATTTGAGAATATAGAATAGGCAGTTATCCAATAATCCACGTATACAGGTTGATCGTTCAAGTGTCCTGCACAAATGAACACAACCAAGGATAGTCCACTGTACTGATGATAAAACTAGCACTGTTCTAATGCACAGCACATTAATCTTGGTCTATAACCCTTTGTCACTTGATCAATGGACAAGTTGCAGCACTTCCTTTCTAATGAAATTGCAGACCTTGCAGTAACCAAAATGATAGGCTATATTTCTGCATCTGTGTACCCTAGTAGGCACTGTTTTCCCCCTATTTATATACGGAACCTACTGTAAAATCAATTCCTTATTATTTACTTTTTCCTTTATTCTTTTGTGTCTTTTTTTCTGTTTTTACCTTTTCTCTTCTTTGAGGGGGAACTGTTTTAAGTTTTTGGCTTGAACTCTTAGCTTAGCCTTTGATATTTCACAAATGTTACTTTAGGAAAAAGTTCAACATACTCAAGAATTACAGAATATCTGATATGAAACTGAGTGCAAAATTTCACACCTTGACAGTAGAACTAAATATTAGTGTAGCTGACATACTGCAAAATAAGGGTGGTGGACAGACAGCATATCAGAAACATGTCACTGCTCAAGACAAAATGATTCGAAAATACAAGGTTATGCTGGTGTGCAGGAAGAGTTCATTTGAGTTTCCTGTTTTAAGTTGTCCTTCTCAACTAAAACAAGAAAGGTGAAGAAGCCGTTTCTCAGTCTAGGAGGAAGAAATCAATCAACAACTATGGGTGAGTTTGGTATGAAGGAAAACATTTTCCGGAAAATGTTTTCCAATTTTCTCATGTTTGGTTGGGTAAAATGTTTTCCAAATCAACTCATTTTCCTCAAATTTAAGGAACATGACTTCCCTCCAAAAATTAAGGAAAACATTTTCTAAAACTCTCCTCCAACTTCATATTACAATTTTTTTGTTGAAAAAATAAATTTAAAGTTTTTTTTTTAAAATTATTTTCAACTTCAATTTTTTATTTTTTACCCCACCCCTATCCCTGCCAGCTCCCTAACGCCCCCTCCCCCAAAAAAAAATTAAAATAAATAAATTATAGTTTGTTTTTAAAAAATATTTCAATTTTTTTATTTTTCACCCCACCCCACCCCTACCC